TTGTTTTTTGTTTGAATGAAGGGAAGGGGAGGGGAGGGGAGGTGAAACGGATTTCATGCTTGTGTACCCATGTAAAGAAAAATGATTTAGTCGAATGACAAAGGATATGGTGGCACATGCATGCATACAAATGGTATATAAAGTATAAGATAAACACACCATAAAGGGTATTAATTGAAAATCTAATCAATATTTTCTAATAAACTTAGCATGTGGTCATTGAAGATTTCAATTTGGTGAGAAGATTTCTTTAGAGAAAAATTGAAAACATTTCACCTCAAAATAACATTTCATAAAAAGTGTCAACCAAAAATATGGAATCTATACAAAAATTTGGTTCAAAGATTTCTGGCAGCGGAATCTTTTATCAGAAATATATTCTCAGAAATTGTTTGTCCTATCCATTTTCCCTTTCGGCCAAGTCTTAATGAAATCATCTCCAAGTAAATCCCATCAAAAAATCAAGTTGTTTCAAAGTGAGCTCCACCTAACTCCTTGTTATACTTAAATCGTAATTTCCTTCTCCACACACACCCAGTCAACAAGGACAATTAAGTAAAAGTTTACTTGTTAACAAATTAACTACACAACAAAACAATTTAGTAACCCTTAGGCAAGGTTAAACAATTTCCGCCAAGTAACAAAAAAATAAAATACAAGGAATTCAGAAATCTTAACCCCATCTCGAAGTGAAAACCAACCCAACAATCAAAATGTTTTAAAACCCTTTCGGCATGGTTTGGAATAGCTTTTTTTAAAAGGGTGTATAACTGGGATACTGTTTGGGTGGATTGTTATGTTCTTTAAAATGACATTAAGTAGCGTTCAAAATGCACTCAAGCATTGCCAACAACAACAACTACAACAAAAAAACACGTTTAACAACTACAGCGACAATTTCTCATTGTTAAGGATATTAGTTGCAAATAAATTGGAATCAAATTGTTTGGCTGCCGGGGTTTCTTTAAATATTTCCAAAGGGTTGAAATCCAAGCGAGCAACTGTCAAACCCTTATCAAAATAAATGTGGGATATCCTTTAAAGTGTGTATGGAGGGTTTTCATAGACTAAATGTGTAAATTCCAAACATTTGTAAATGTCGCCAAGATGTAAAAAAGTACAGAGTTGTAAAATCAAGGTATTAACCAGAAAAGACTTAATCAAGAAAAAGGCTTTTTTTGGGAGAGATTTTCTTTAGATGTCTTGGATTTTTTGGATTGGGGTATTTGGAATGATGTAGTAAGAAAATGGTTTCGGAACATTTTATGGCGAATTTTACGCATTTTTAATCTCCGTCCCTTTAAAATAACATTTCTTTAAAAATCCAAGCCTGGGTCCCCTTTGTCCCCTTAAAAATAGTCCCTAAAAATAATTTAAATCCATGCCTAGGCCTTCATTGACCCTTGAAAAAATAGTCCTTCACGTAAGCCAGAGCAACAGAAACACCAAAATTTGTCGGGACTCTCAAAAAATATTCCTTAAAAAATCAATGGGCTTTAATAGTCCTTTTCAAAATTTTAAAATTGTACTTTGATAGTCCTTTAACAAAAATTTCTTCAAAAATTAAAACCTGGGCTTTGATAGTCCTTTAACAAAAATTCCTTCAAAAATTAAAACCTGGGCCAAAGCCTCTTTAAAAAATCCATACCAGGGCCTTTTTGGATCTTTTAAAAATATTTCTTAAAAAATCCTCGCCAAAGCCTCCTTAAAAATCCACGGAAGGGCCTTTATAGACATTTTAAAAATATTTCTTAAAAAATCCTCGCCGAAGCGAGTCCACGCCTGGGCTTTGATAGTCCTTTGAAAATAGTCAGTTAACAAAAATTCCTTAAAAATCCACGCCTGGGCTTTGATAGTTCTTTGAAAATAGTCAATTAACAAACATTCCTTAAAATTCCACGCCTGGGCTTTGATAGTCCTTTGAAAATAGTCAGTTAACAAAAATTCCTTAAAAAATCCACGCCTGGTCATTGATAGTCCTTTGAAAGTAAATTCCTTAAAAAATCCACGCCCAATCATTGATAGTCCTTTGAAAGTAAATTCCTTAAAAAATCCACGTCTGGTCATTGATAGTCCTTTGAAAATAAATTCCTTAAAAAATCCACGCCCAATCATTGATAGTCCTTTGAAAGTAAATTCCTTAAAAAATCCACGTCTGGTCATTGATAGTCCTTTGAAAATAAATTCCTTAAAAAATCCACGCCTGGTCATTGATAGTCCTTTGAAAATAAATTCCTTAAAAAATCCACGCCTGGTCATTGATAGTCCTTTGAAAATAATTTCCTTAAAAAACCACGCCTGGCCATTGATAGTCCTTTGAAAATAAATTCCTTAAAAACACCACGCCTGGTCATTGATAGTCCTTTGAAAATAATTTCCTTAAAAAACCACGCCTGGCCATTGATAGTCCTTTGAAAATAAATTCCTTAAAAAATCCACGCCTGGTCATTGATAGTCCTTTGAAAATAAATTCCTTAAAAAATCCACGCCTGGTCATTGATAGTCCTTTGAAAATAAATTCCTTTAAAAAACACCACGCCTGGTCATTGATAGTCCTTTTAAAATAAATTCATTAAAAAACCAACGCCTGGTCATTGATAGTCCTTTGAAAATAAATTCCTTAAAAACTCCACGCCCAAGCATTGATAGTCCTTTGAAAGTAAATTCCTTAAAAAATCCACGTCTGGCCATTGATAGTCCTTTGAAAATAAATTCCTTAAAAACACCACGCCTGGTCATTGATAGTCCTTTGAAAATAATTTCCTTAAAAAACCACGCCTGGCCATTGATAGTCCTTTGAAAATAAATTCCTTAAAAACACCACGCCTGGTCATTGATAGTCCTTTGAAAATAATTTCCTTAAAAAACCACGCCTGGCCATTGATAGTCCTTTGAAAATAAATTCCTTAAAAAATCCACGCCCTGGTCCTTAAAAAATTGATTGATAGTCCTTTGAAAATAAATTCTTAAAAAATCCACGCCTGGTCATTGATAGTCCTTTGAAAATAATTTCCTTAAAAAACCACGCCTGGCCATTGATAGTCCTTTGAAAATAAATTCCTTAAAAAATCCACGCCCAAGCATTGATAGTCCTTTGAAAGTAAATTCCTTAAAAAATCCACGTCTGGCCATTGATAGTCCTTTGAAAATAAATTCCTTAAAAAATCCACGCCTGGTCATTGATAGTCCTTTGAAAATAAATTCCTTAGAAAATCCACGCCTGGTCATTGATAGTCCTTTGAAAATAAATTCCTCAAAAACACCACGCCTGGTCATTGATAGTCCTTTGAAAATAAATTCCTTAAAAAACCAACGCCTGGTCATTGATAGTCCTTTGAAAATAAATTCCTTAAAAACTCCACGCCCAAGCATTGATAGTCCTTTGAAAGTAAATTCCTTAAAAAATCCACGTCTGGTCATTGATAGTCCTTTGAAAATAAATTCCTTAAAAATGCACGCCTGGTCATTGATAGTCCTTTGAAAATAAATTCCTTAAAAAATCCACGCTTGGTCATTGATAGTCCTTTGAAAATAATTGCCTTAAAAACGACGCCTGGCCATTGATAGTCCTTTGAAAATAAATTCCTTAAAAAATCCACGCCTGGTCATTGATAGTCCTTTGAAAATAATTTCCTTAAAAACGACGCCTGGCCATTGATAGTCCTTTGAAAATAAATTCCTTAAAAAATCCACGCCTGGTCATTGATAGACCTTTGAAAATAAATTCCTTAGAAAATCCACGCCTGGTCATTGATAGTCCTTTGAAAATAAATTCCTTAAAAACACCACGCCTGGTCATTGATAGTCCTTTGAAAATAAATTCCTTAAACACCAACGCCTGGTCATTGATAGTCCTTTGAAATAAATTCCTTAAAAAATCCACGCCTGGGCTTTGATAGTCCTTTGTAAATAGTCCCTGTGCTTTGATAGTCCTTTCACAAAAATTCCTTAAAAAATCCACGCCTGTGCTTTGATAGCCCTTTCACAAAAATTCATTAAAAAGTACACGCCTGGGCTTTGATAGTCCTTGAAAATGTTGTTTAAAAAACAGCGCCTGTGTTGGTTCTTGACCAGTTTATAGTGAAAATAGTCCTTGAAATATTTTGTTTAAAATACCTTAAACTGATACTGCAGACATCTATTCCTTACAAGGCCCTGAAAAATTTAGGTTAAATATTCCCCTATCATTTTAATAACCCTCTACCGAATTTTGTGCCCTGCAATCATCGTGAAACTTTTATGGCATAAATTGTTGTAACATGACAAATAATTGGTTGTCACAGATTCGCAAAAACCATTGCCTCGCAAATTTCTAACGATGTGTGTATGTGTCAAACAACTGTGACAACATCGGCAGCAACAAAAACAACAACAACAACGGCACCACAGCCATAATCTATTTTAATTGAATTGAATGGGTAACAACATGATGTGTGGGTTGTCACACCCCCTCAAAAACAGGGCCCATCACAGATTTATTTCCAATTAATTTTGTCATTTTTGTTGTTGGTTTTTTTCTGTCTTTTCCATCTATTCTGGTATAGTAAGGTGCGGGGTGGGGGTTAAGAATCAATAAATATCGATTGCATTTTTGTGGAAGGTGTTACCTTTTTTTGAGATGGCAAAAAAACAATCACATCAAAGACTGGCTTGGCTATTATGTTGGCAGATTCTGATGATGATGACGATTGTGGAGAGAGAAAAAAGTGAAAGTGATTGATTTCAATTTATATTTTGAATGACAATTTCTTTTTTTCGATTTTATTCCAATGATGGTGGTCAGTGGTCATCAGTGGCCATTTGGTCATCATCAGTATCAAAACAACTCAGGCATTTGACATATCGTGGGGATGATATGTTGGATCATTTGCCTTAAGTGATTGATGATAATTTCTTGTGTACTATTATATTTAGTTTAATATTATCAATAATTGTTAATTTATTACGAATTTATTTGCTATTTTATCTAATAATTGTTTTTGTTTTGTCTTTTAGCCCAAGACCTTAATGACATGGACCAAGATGACATGTGCGATGATGGTATGAGTGATATTGATGATCATGCCAGTGAGACGGATTCGAAAAAGGGTGATGGCCGTTCCGGTGATGGTAAATCGAATAGCAGTGGTGGTGGTTCAAAGCCCAGGCGAGCCCGTACGGCATTCACCTATGAACAGTTGGTGTCCTTGGAGAATAAATTCAAAACGACACGGTATCTAAGTGTTTGTGAACGATTGAATTTGGCATTGAGTTTGTCGTTGACTGAGACGCAGGTAAATATTGGAAAATTTAAATAAATTTTAAAAATTAAAAAATTGAATACTTAATGAAAAAAGCTTGCCACAGCCTCAGACCTTGAAAAAATATTCTTTAAAAAATCCACGCCTCTTATAGGCCTTGAAAAAAATATTCTCTACACAATCCACGCCTCTTATAGGCCTTGAAAAAAATATTCTCTACACAATCCACGCCTCTTATAGGCCTTGAAAAAAATATTCTCTACACAATCCACGCCTCTTATAGGCCTTGAAAAAAATATTCTTTACAAAATCCACGCCTGTTATAGGCCTTGAAAAATATTCTTTAGCAGACCTTGAAAAAATTCTTTAACAAATCCACGCCTCTTATAGGCCTTGGAAAATATTCTTTAAAAAATCCTCGCCTGTTATAGGCATAGAAAAAATTCTTTAAAAAATCTACGCCTCTTTGGGTGCTTGGAAAAACTTCTTTAAAAAATCCACGCCTATTGGCCATTAAGTGCTTGGAAAAATTATTTAAAAAATCCTCGCCTCTTATAGGCATAGAAAAAAATTCTTAAAAAAATCTACGCCTCTTATAGACCTTAAAAATATTCTTTATAAATACATGCCTGTTTTCCCGAATTATTTTTTTTTTTTCTTTAATTAAATAATTTTTTTTTACTAATTTCCAATCTTTTATCTTTTTCTCATTTTAGGTGAAAATCTGGTTTCAAAATCGTCGCACCAAATGGAAGAAACAAAATCCTGGTATGGATGTCAACAGCCCTACAATTCCACCACCTACCGGTTCATTTGGTCCTGGTGCTTATGCCAGTAGTCTGCTCTACTCGCATACCATGCCCTATTCACCCTATGGCCCATATTTCCATCCCTTGGGTGCAGCACATCATCTAAGTCATTCGCATTCATAAAATTGTAAGATGCAACATAAATTGTTGCAAATAATGGAAATGCGTAAATATCAAGGACTAAGGAAGGATTAGATAAGAAAAGAAATTCATTAAAAAAATCTTTTCAAAAATCCTCGAAAGCCGAAGAAAAAACAAATGTGATGATAATTGTATAGAAATGAAAAAAAGAAAAGAAAAAATTATAACCAAAAATTAATTTAAAATTTCTAACAACAAAGACAAAAAACCAAAAAAGGGTCAGTGCAATTTATTTTTTGTTTTGTTAATTCCAGAAAAAAATAAAATTTGAAAAATAATATCTGCCTCCACCCCCTTTTCACTGTACAGTTTAATGTTCTGTCAATTACCAAAAAGAGTTATACGGAAACGGAAATCTACTTAAAATTTCAATGTAAATAAAACCACCCAAACTACCTTTTCACTCATAATCATCATTATTATCTATTTAAAAATTATTATTTATTAAAATTTTGTTGTAAATTATTTAATATTGTATTTAATTCTGCCAAGACATCATCGTTTCATAATTAGAATTTTAATTTCCTTGGAAAAATGCAAGTGAAAATTGTACATGTTTGCCATTATTATTATCACTATTATTATGGGTATTTCCATTGTATTATTACGGATTAGTTTGTAAATTAGCATTAACCAAAAACATTCAAAGCCAAAGAAAATCAAAAATAATTAATTTAATTTAATAATGAAATAAACTAAAGAATAATAAATACATTTTAAGCATTATTGACAAAAACAATTAAATTGTTTGTTTTTCTTTAGGGGATTGGAGGGATATTAATTTATTTTACAGAAGCAACAGGGCTAGGGGTGAATTTGTTGAAACAAATGTGGGCATTAATATTAATGTCCACATTAACAAAGTAATGGATATATAAAAACGTTGATACGGCAAAAATGTGTCTCTTCGAAATATTAATTAAATGCGGTCTAACATGTTTCTCTGGACCAAATCCCGCTGGCACCTTTCCCACAGAATGGTCAAAATTGTTATGAAAATTAATTTTACAATATCCAAACTGTACACATCGTATATTTGTTGCAGAATAAAATCTAGTACCTCATCCGCAAAATGACCAAAAAATATGCTGAAAATACATGTTATATCACGCGAAAATAGCATCAAATTCACAAGAAACTACAGTGAAATCTCGACATTAAGATATTGAAAAAAAATCAGGGAATTAGCAAACAAATTCGAAATCGAATTCACATTATCGAGAGTTCACTGTATTCACAATCTAATATATTAAACCATACCCGTATATTGTTGGAAGATGAAACTTATCGGTCCACTCATTATAGTGCTTCCCCCACTAATGGTCAAACTTATACTATTTTTACCTAGCCTAGAACGAATCCAAAGATGGGAAATCGGCCCACTCCTCCCCACAATTGGAACTTCTCCAAATATGGTAAAATCTTTGAAAAAAATATATGTTTTTTTGCATAGACCTCCGCAAATTATTGACTAAAGGTATATATCTGTCCCCAACACCAACTGACATTTTTTTTCTTGTAAATTAGTTAGTGACTAACCGTCGTAAAGTTTTGTGTATAGAACCGATTCTGATCAAAGGCGTCACTTATCATTTCGTTTAATCTTTAGGGGATGAAATGGACCATGAACGTTATTTTTATGCCCTTCACCACACTGCAGGGTGCAGAGTATTTCTTGTGAATATGTTTGCAACTGGTAAACGAAAACGAAATAGACACCTGGTTCCGTTTGAGAATATGCACAGAATCACTTTCTGAGTCGATTTATGCATGTCCGTCCGTCCACCGTCCGGCTGTCCATGTTAAATTGTACAGGTCGCATTTCTAATCCGAATTGAGTGAAATTTGGTACAGCTCATTTACTTGGCCCAAGGGCGAACCCTATTAAAAATGGGGAAAATCGGTACAGATTTAGATATAACTCCCAATTATATTTTCGTCCGATTTTATGTAAATGTGTCATTCAATTTGCACTAAATTTGGCATAGCCCGCTGAATTTAGTCTAGAATGATGTGTGCTAAGTTTCGTGAAAATCGGTTCAAATTTAGATATAGCTCCAATAAATATTTTCGTCCGATTTGATGTAAATGGTACCCAAAAGTCCTTCTATATCTTTTGATTTGCCCGAAATTTGGCACAGCGTACTGAATTGAGTTTAGAATGATGTGTGAGAAGTTTTGTGAAAATCGGTTCAGATTTAGTTATAGCTCGCATATATCTTTTTGTCCGGTTTTAAGTAATTGGTGCACCAAAGACCCTATATTTCTTTCGATTTGAACGAAATGTTGCATAGGTTTCTGAAATAAGTCTCGAATGATGTGAGGTAAGTTTCATGAAAATTGGTTCAGATTTAGATATAGTCCCCATTTATATTTTCGTCCGATTTTATGTTAATGGTGGACCAAAGTCCCTATGTTTCTTCGATTTGCACCAAATGTGGCAAAGCGTGCTGAATTGAGGATAGAATGATGTGAGTTAAGTTGCGTGCAAATCGGTACAGATTTGCATATAGATTTCCCATATATATTTTCGTTCGGTTTTATATAAATAGTGTATCAACGCTTCCACGTTTCTTTCGATTTGCACGAAACTTGTTAAGTTTCGTCAAAATCGGTTCCGATTTAGATATATCTACAATATATATATATATATATATATATGCGTCCTATTTTATGTTAATTGAGCTCCAAAGCATCTCCATTTCTTTCGTTTGCACGAATTGATATGACATTTTGCATTGATTTCAGGATGACATGTTTATGTGTTTATTTATATTGGTATATAAATCTATGTATATCACATATTTAATTTAGTTATATTTTAAGTCGATGATCCTCTAAAGATAGTATGTCTGCTCTATCAAAAATATATTGTACGTATGAGCATCTCTTGTATGTACCAAAAGTGGTGAAAGGTATCACATAGTCGGCCCGTCCGATTTTTTAACTTTCCATTACCAAACTAGAATGCGCAAATTTTACTCTAATGTCTATGAAATTTTGGATGTGGTTTAGGATATGGTGAAGCAAGACATTTTTAGTTCTCGGTCACGATCGTATGATATTTAGAGGATGACTAAAACGTTCTTTCTTTATACTTTCTAGTCGCTGTAGAGATCATAATATTGACCCGAACGCCACGGAGAGGGAGATTATAAGGATGGTTCTTTTAATGATAATCGGTCAACATTTTGTTGACCTTAAAGAGGAGACCAGAGAATATAATAATATGAAGAAATTTTGGTAGTCCAGTAGGGTATAGTTTGCTCGACACAGTCCAAAAGGATATTTAGTGCAGTTTGTATGAAATCGATGAAAATATAAATGGGTGTTATATTAAAATTTTATAATATGGTACGTTTTTCACAATTTTTTCGCAATAGGAGAAACGTTGGATAATTGGTTATGCATTGTCTGAATCTGTCCAATCCGTAGAAATTGAGTACCTGTGCTAAGACTAATCGTGTCTGCCTAGACAGCAGTTTATCCTCTGCAGCTATGTATGGAATCATAGAATAACATTCTTACGTTATTGTTCTACTGCCTGGAAGTTACTGTTCTACTGCCTGTTCTACTACCTCTCTAGATCATGTGGATCTCTCGTGATGTGCAAAGGCGGGAAAGCCTTTACATAAAATCCAAAATCGATTACCAACATTTAATCGTGCTAGTGAACGGTTCACTGATGTCATGAGGAAAGTCCCTCTAGTGGGATACTAATTTTTTAGTGTCCGGGTCATAATTGTGGCCTCTAGAGCAATCAGAAAAACAGACAAAAATAAAGCTTTTTTTTTTTTGTCCATTTCATTCCATAAAAATGAGCCGATCATTACCAAAAACAACAGAGGTCTTCTCTGGCCAGAATGGACAGACTGACGGACACAGATGTCTAGATCGACTCAACTATTTGAGATGTAACGATCGGTATACTTAAAGGTGGGTCTAAAACCAATATCTCGCGGCGTGACAAACCCTTGGGGCGGGACAAATATGAATAAACAAATAATAAAGTATGGAACTCGTTTCCATGTGTCTAGTGTTTGAAACTGATTAATATCGTTTACTGCTTTCCAAATTTGTATCAAACATTCGAATTTCTTGAAGCCAAATAACATAAGTGCTTAAATAAAATAAATCGAAAATAAATATACTCCTTGTTATAATAAAGTCTACCACCTTCGTTGAAATTCTCTTAGACATTCACATGTAAATTTTAATTGAAATCCTTATCAGACAGTTTTTTTTCGGTCTGACAGTCTCACACTCATTGCCAAAAAAAACACCCCGTTCAACAACAAATGATTTCAGCAGACACATTTATAATTACGATTTGGTATCAAGTGAAATTATCTGTTTAATAAAAATGAGTAAATTGTTTGACAACAGAAAATAAGTCGACTGGAAAATTTTAAAATTGCTCCTCTTCCACAGAAAAACAGAGACAAACACGCACATAGAGAAAAACACAATACAACGAAATCCGTACGCACGCACAGACATTCGGAACTTTGGCAGAAAAGGCAACAGCACACGAGACAAGTGTGCCAACGACGAGACGAGGAGAACATCCAATTATGTTAAAGTGAATAAATAAAATTCCATAAGCGGCTTATATGACACACCACCAAACAGGACTTGACCACAAACATCAACCAAAGTGGGAGAGGGGGTGGTGGTAGAAAAAATGGAAATTAAAGTGGAAAAGTGGTATGAGATTCATACCATGTGGCATAAACAGGAGATGTTTATGTTTGGTGATGGAAGTGTTGTGCTGTGATATGCGTATACAGAATTATGGTAATCAAATAAAAATATAAAGTCCAAAGGAAGGATCTTCAGGACAAAGAAAGCTTTCTAATAGGCTGTAATATCTTTGGTGTATATTGGAAAGCGGGGTACACTTTGGGTATTTGGGAAAAGAAACGGAACTATAACAATTAAAACCAGTAAGGAAAGTAGTAATGTCGGACTGGGCCGACTATGTGATACCCTTCACCACTTTGGGTATATTATACATATGCATCCTAACAGACGTCGCATTTTCGAAGGAAT